GCTGCAGAGCAGGTAGGTATCCAACGTGGCTGGCAGCATGGCAGGTGAGGAGCCCACCTGCAGAGCTGGAGCACTGCCCACTGTGGTGGCAGGGGGCTGGCCAGAGGCACCCACAAGGCATGGTGGGCTGTGAAATCCCATCCCTGTGAAGTCAAATGGCTGGTGGCTGTTTGAGAGCAGCTTTCAGCTAGTTGATTGAAAATTGGTGCTAATTCAGTGCATCTGAAACTTTTTAAAAACGAATGATATCATTGCACTGCCCTCACAGAGACCTGTTTTGTGTGAGCCTGTGAAGCAGCTGTTTTCTACCCCCCCTTTTATTTTTCATTTCAGATACCAGACCTTTTGTGGTCTAGTCCCTTCAGCAACTGCCCTGCTCCTCCCTTTTCCCTTACTTGTAGCCTGCAGGACAATAAAAAGCTAGTTTGGTGGTACCACAAGAAGAAGAAAGTCAGTCAATGCTTTGAAATATTTGCCTTCTGGAACTGACAGACTTGATCTCTGAACTGGTAAAATGAGCTCTTTGCCTCCCTTGTCCATCTCCTCACATATTTTTCCTAAATGGTAGTCTGCATAGGGTATAGTTTGTCTGGAGCAGAGCTTTAGATGGTTTATCACATGCAGAAAAATAGTACAGGTGAGTATCCTGGCATCCTTGCATTCTTCATACTGCTTTGTGTTTATGCTAGGCTTTGCTGAAAAAGTGTTTCTTTTACTGTAATAATTGTAGAAATAAAGCTAAAGAGTGAGTCTGTATTTTGCTGATTCCATCCAGGAAATTGAACTTGTTTCTTTAGACTAAATCTTCTGCTGAACTTTTAAAACTGTTTGAGGAAAGCTTGGTAACTCTTAAAACAAGCCGATTCGTAAGTTACAATCTTTGAGGCAGGCTTTTCTTTAGTAAACATCTTTTGTTTCCCCCTCTGATCTCTTTTTGTCAGTGTATCTACTTCCACAGGGCAGGCATTACTAAGTCAGCAATTCTTCCAATATCAAAGAAGGTGCAGTTTTGTTGTGTGCAGCTTAAGGAAATCTGTAGACACCATAAACAGGATGGCTGGTCTGCTCATCTTACAAATAGCTACAGGACATCAAACAAGTCTTTCAGACTGATAAGGTTCAAGGAGGGTAACTTTTCTGCTTTAAACCTTTCCCTTGACAAAGTCTATATATGATCTTTGTTAATAAGACTTGTTTCTTGTGATGTATGCACACATGTTCATTTTAGCTTTCTGGGGAGGTTGCATAGCTTGATCTGGCAAGCCATTTCCTGGGTTGGCTGTGTTGTGTCTAGTTAAACCAAGAACTATCACAAAAGTGGTGAAGGAAGTAGGATTTCAGAAATTAAGTAACAGCTCAGTGCTGTGTCTGTATTCAGTAGCAGCATTTCCTACCTCCTCCTAGTTTTTGTTTTCAACTTGTGCGTGGTGTCTTAGACCAGTCTTGTTGTCTCCTTTCTGCTGTGCCCTCCAAAGCAAACCTCTGGTTTGAAATCCTCATTGTCTACAATTAAAAATTTTGCAAGACAGCATTTGAATACCATTTTCATAAATAGCAGTGAAGTTGTGAGTAGAAATCTATGCACCAGCACATAACATCATTGAATGAGCATCCATTTTGTATTTCAGCAGTGGTAACAAACAGTGATGAATCACAGCTTTTAACTCCAGGAAAAATGAGCCAGCGCCAGGGGAAAGAAGCCTATTTTACTCCAACCAAAGAGTTACTCCAGCCGTCTCTCAGCCCAGGAACTGCCCACAGCCATGGTAAGACAAAGCCGTTTTTTACAGAGGTTTTAAAGAACTTAAATGCTGACATTAATTATCTGTTCCAAATGTTGGTTGAAAAACACTACCTTTCACAATAAAGATGTAAGGAAGAAAGCATGTTGAAATATTGTATGTAATTCTTTGTATCGTTATGTGTTAATCTGAAAGAGAAAAAAATGCATTATGTGGTGCACTAGTTTCTTAAAGCATGCTGTGATTTGTGGGAGAACAGTCCACGTGATGGTAAATCATTATCTCTGTAATCCCGTAACTGATGATCACGCCAATGTCTCAGGTATTTAAGTTGTGTCTTTATGCAGAAGTGTTATGATACACCACCTAAGCCTGCAATCTTTGTGTAAAGATCTTTTAACAATTATTTCTACTGAAAGATCCTCCTCTTTAGGAAAGGGAACAAAAAAAAAAAAGAGTCAGTACTACTTTTTTGCCACCTTTCAAACAGTCCCTCTGCCTTGCTAATCGTGTTGAAAGCAAACTCGCAGTGGATCCATGTGAACTGATGGGATGCAAAGTGAAACTTGTCAGTAGACCTGACATGTTGATAGTCTGTTCAAAAAACAAAAACCAAGCCATGGTAGCTCTCCTTGTGCTTATTTGTATTTGAAACTGCTTGTGTTGTCTTATCGCCTGGGTTATCATTAGATGTGTTTGCGATGGTGTGTGGAGTCCTTAGTGAAAACTTCAGGCTTTTTTCATTGCTGTTCTCTCTCCTTTTGCTGTTGGCTGCCATGCTAGTCATCTATACTTCCGTTAGTTCTTGCCGTGAGTAATGTTCCTGAGATGATTTTTTTTTTTTATATGAGCCTCCCAAACTCTCATAGCTTGCTTTGTCAAAGTAATGATATTAGTCCATCAAAGAAATAAAGGCAGTTTGTCAAGTAACTTTGAATAATTTTCCTGGTTTCCCATTCAGTACTGTTCAGATAAAAAGAAAAAAATACTTTGAAACTGAAGATAGTTGTTACCATGTTGAATCTGGTAGTCTTTTAGTGTATTTTAAGGACTATTATAGTAGTACCCACAGCTAGCTCTGGTATGTTTTCTAAAAGCTGCTGGTATCTCACTGGAACAGCACTTGGTGTTCTCTGGCTTGTGATGTGCTTAGTCTGGAATTATCTTCTGTAGAATATACATGTGTAACTTGTTTGTTATTTTTATTATGTTTAAAGAAATTTTTGATTGTTTTCTCTATGTACTGTGTTGTATCCCTTACTAGACAAGCATTGTCGTTATATAAGTGTATTTGAATATTGTAGTAAAGATTTCCTTTTAATGTTGCTATTCCCACTAATTTATGAAGGCAAACCATTGTGCTTTTTTAAGGGCTTTCACTTATAGCAAAGTCATTAAAATGGGCTCGAAAAGCACTGAGACTTGATCGTGCTATGTCAAACTTTTTGCAGATATTAAGTCTTCTGATTTTTTTTTCTCTGATTATTTCAGGGCTTATGTAAGTGATTTTAAGCTGGTTAAATGTATCTGTGCCTCTTTTAGCATCAGTCATCACTGACTTGGTCTTCTAGGAGTGCTACTAGAAATGAGGCTATAGTTTCATGAACCAATGAATTTGGCTTGTAGTCAGTTTCAGTCATGAAAAGGTGTGATGTAAACTAGGCTTCAGCAACCTTTAATTACTAACTTCTAGCCTTATCTGCAACTCAGGAGTTGCAGCTTTGATTTTTATTGAGGTTGTTGACCCACATTTAGAAGCTGAATGGTTATTCTGTGGTAGTGATTCCTACAGGGAAATTATAGTGCTGGTGAATATGTCAGCTTATTACATACGGGAAAAGAGATGCTGTGCAAGCCTGAAAAATAAGAAGTAGAAGAGGGTTTAAAGTGATGGGGTACTTGAGGCTGGCTGTTGTAACTGAAATTCAGTTAACAAAGATCTTTATAATATACCTGTGGTATTGTATGATGAGAATATGCAGAAATATAAGAAATGTTCAGATATGGTATTTAAAGGCATTTGCTAGGAACTAAATGGAGATGCTTTTAGTCACTGGCACCTGAATGCATCCTTAGGAGATGGGTAATGTAAATAATCCAAAAGCATACTAGACACAGATAATAGATAATCAAAACAGAAAAATGCATTGTACAGTCTACAGTGGACTGATTAAATGTATATAAAGGGGAGCTGTGACGTGGGTACTTGGCTAAGAGCCTGTGTGGCAAAGGCAGTTTTGTATAGAGCTTGTGTTTAAAAATAAATGAGTTTGAATGAAATGAAACGTGTGAAGAGGCAGTCTTTGGAGCAACCAGCACTTTGGTGTTAGTGGGGAAACACCACCATATGTACCAGATTCTTTGGCCAGCCAGCAGCAGTCCGGGGAGAGGCATGCTTGGTGCCCATCGCTTGGAAAATATATTGCAACAAGCTTAATTCTGTTTTCTGCTTGTGTTTTAAGTAACATCCTAATTACAGATATTACAAATATGATTGAAAGTAGATGAGAACTTGAGTCTTAAAATGTGAGGTTGGAGGTAAACATTTAACATCTGTTTGGGACATTGGCTTCCTATTTGAAGCCAAGGGTGAACCATGCAATATGTCATTGTGAAGTTGTATTTCATGATTTTAAGTCTCCTGTGTATAAATACTGGAGTTTAATTTATGTGACCATAGCTCTGAATTTCAGAAAGCTTCTGTTTTCTGGTACTTGGTTTCATAGTTTAAAACTTTACTTCTTCCTTCCTTACTCCTTTCATTCTTGTGAGATGGAACTTAGTATGTCATCTGAGCTAGAGATGGAGATCTTCTTGGGGAGTCCAATGCAGATCTGTTTTACAAATGTAGAATACAGCTTGATCTGGCAGCATCGTCTAGTGATTGTTCAGCAAAAGTCTATTTACACTGTCATTGTTCAGCATAATGTTTGCAGGAAGAAGTTGCACCTTCTTATTTTACATCATGTTTTTAAGATTCTTGAAGATATGCTGTCCTTTATTCTGAGACTGAAGACTAGCCTATCTTTTAGGCTACAGACTGGCCTTTAAAGTGTGGAGGTCACTTTCACTTCCGTAGAAAGCTTCAGCAAGGTTACTTGACAGAAATATATTAGGAAATCTGATGGTGGGGATTATGGTTGTTTATTACGCTCACCAGTTTCCGTAGCCAATTCAGAATTTTGGTGTTGGAGGGCTAACTCACCTGTATATAACACTGGTCCTGAGATGGACTTGTAATTTTAATTATTGTAGATTTAATTTATTTCTACCTTGTTCATCCTTATTTAACTAGAGTACCAGAATAAGCCAACCCTGATAATAACAGTGCAGTTACAATTTGTTCTGTAAAATAAATTTATTGACCCTCCAAACATCAGTGGCTTTAAGATGGAGAATACCAAAATCCAAGTGTCATCTAATGCGAAGCTGGTAACACTCAGATTTGTTGGGGTTCAAGAGACATCACAACAAACCTATAACCTAGCCTTTTGCATCCGCAGCGTGCAAGGAAGGATTTCATAAAGATACGAAGTCAGCTTAACTAGACAGCTTTTCACATTCTGTGTGGTACCACCATTTCTAGAAAAGCAGCAATACAACTTTTCATGGCAGCTTTAAACTCAACTACACAAAGGAAAGCTTTCCCATTGTGGAGCTTCTCAGCATCGTAACTGAGGAGCTCCTTGTGAACGTGGCCTTGAGCAGCTCCCCATTGAGCTGATCTTGGGGCCTTCAAGAAAGCTGGGGAGGGACCTTTTACAGAGGCAGGTAGTGATACAACAAGGGGTAATGGCTTTGAACTGGAAGAGGGTAGGTTTTAGATTAGATATTAGGAAGAAATTCTTTACTGTGAGGGTGGTCAGACACTGGAACAGGTTGCCCAGAGAAGCTGTCAATGCCCTCTCCCTGGAAGTGTTCAAGGCCAGGCTGGATGAGGCTTTGAGCAACCTGGTCTAGTGGAAGGTGTCCCTGCTGATGGCAGGGGGGTTGGAACTAGATGATCTTTAAGGTCCCTTCCAACCCAAACCATTCTATGATTCTATGATGTATTTAAAACTTTTACTGATTTTCCTCACTCCTTATTGGGTATGTATAAGAAAGCAATTTCTAGAATCTTACACTCAACAGCTTGCTCAAATGGATTACATGCTTCTCAAATCAGGGTTGGAAATGATTATACAGTGGTATTTGTCAAGAATTTGCAAGATCAAACTTTCTAAAATAAATCTTTTTTTCCTACATAAATCCTTTAATTCTAAATTTTGAAGTCTGTAACTGTCCTTTCATAACATCTGCCAAGTCAGTCCTGTCTCTAACTTGTCAGTGCTCTGTATTGCATGTTAATGTTGCCTTCTGGTATGTTGTTATGTTCACATCAATGATCCTTTTTTTTCTGCTTTATCTGCTAGTCAGTGAAACCTTCCTAGTTCTCCATGCCTTGAACATACTAAATGATGGTACTATATTTTTTGCTAAATATTTTATTTAGAATTATCAGACTTGGAGTTGCACTTAAATAATTCAGTAGCTTTTTGATGGAAACTTTAATGGGTTTGGGTTATTAGCTTCTGCTGTGAAGCCTCGCTTACTTTTGTGGGGTGGTGTGGTTTTAGGCTCTGTAGTGAGCTACCATGGCCTTGCCAATTCACCAAGACAATTTTTTTGTAAGTGTAGTGCATGTAGATGTTAGGACTGCTAAAACATATTTTAATTCTAGCAGTTGACGCATATGTTGAACAATGTTAATTTAGCTTATTTTCTGTGTTTGTCTTCTGTAGTTGAAAATGTCATTAACCATTAATGGGCAAACTACTAAACTTTTATCAAGCTTATTTTGGGGTTTTTACTTTTTTTTAACCTACTTACATGTGATAAAAAGGAGTCATTGTCAAAACTATTTTATTATAGTTAAAAAACGGACATAGAGAGTATAGAGTCCAAGGCTGTGTTTTCAAAGGCTGTAGAGCAGAAGAACTCTGCTTGCTGATGTAAGCTGTTTATGTTGTTACACAAATCATCCC